ACTGGTTTCTAATGGTGGATTTCCTATATTTGATACCCCCTAATGATTTAATTGAATTTCATAAATCAGAGATCATAAAAAGGCCACTCCATCTTTTGAAATAAAATTCAATGATAGCTACCATGGATTATATCAATCAACAATAACATTTGAACCATCAGTTTCAAGCTTATCTAATTGGTTGGCAATCCAAGAGTTGGTAATCAAGCTTGAAGTGGAATCAGAGTTGTGTAATGGACCAGCAATTGCAAAGATGTGGAACCAGTTATCAAATGGCCTTTCAAAAGTGCTGCATTCAGCTCAAGAGCTAACATGACTCCAGTCACTCTACTAGAACCATCATCCACATCAGCCAAGTCCAGCCTATCAAACCCTCGCAACTACAAGCTCTTCACGAATGATGGTAAACCCAATAAAATGAAGATGCCAAAAGACAAATGTGTTGTACTGGAAACAATTCAGCACTTGGAAAGATTAGATCATTTTTAACCCAAGTCTCTACACATTCAATTATTTATCACTTGAGACTGTAGCTATATATCTCCATGGAGTTTATCTGTGTACATAAGGATTTCTGAAGATTTTGTGACAGGTCACGAATAGCTCACAAACTGAAGTGGCCAACTTGTCTTGTCTGCTCATGTTGATAATCTGTGCTTGTCTTCTGTAAAGCTAATAGATAAATTGATATTTAATTCTGAATTTGCTGATTGGCATTGGCTTTATCTCTCTTGGTGAATCATGATGGACAATCAGGAAAATTTAGCTTTGTGGTGGAAATTTCCTCTTTGGGATGGGATTTGCTTACATTGTTTGGAAGAACTGTCAGTGGTATGGAATTTATGAGCTGAAAATGGAGATTTTCTCAATAATCAAGCAAAGGAAGATTGTATCTGATTGTAAACCCCCTCCTCCGGCTGGGTTTCACAAAGACTTCTTGTTCATGTCACTCCCCTCTCAGTATTTCTGATCCCCGGCTCCTTTCCTGGCTCAGCAGAGATCTGACCCACATTCTCTCTGAGCCAGGTGAGTTTCCATTTTCTTATTTCCCTTCTGTTGTTTCTTTATTGCTTCTAGGTGGTAGATGAGAGATCTGACCCAGTAATCAAACCCCACTGTGTTTGGTCTTAGAAATTGCCTAGGCTTCATCAACCCATCCCATCAGTGCCATTTCCAGTTCATACACTGAAGGACACTCACAGTCCTTACACTGATTAAAATATTTTGTATGAATGAGAAGGAGTCAGGATGGGTGCTTGATTCAAAGAGAAGCTATCAATCTTTGAGATGGTTGGGAGGAGTTAGGTCAAATTTTATCCCGCCATTCCTAGAGACATCTGCAACTCAATTTTCCTAGTAGACCCTAGGCATCAAATATTGCGGGCACACTGTGAAGGTATCTCAGCTAAGTAACCGGAGATCATCTCACTTCCCTTTTTACCTTCTCAAGGGAGAAATCATAAAACAGTCTGAAGCTCATTCTGGCACCACTGCTAGAGATCTGGTCTTCTTTGTGAAGCTGTACTGTCTGTTCAGCAGACAAGGAGTGGGATGACCTGAGGAAATTGAATTGATAATTACACAACTCTGTTGACTGAAATCGGTAACAAAAATTCCCGGCCAAGTCAATTGATGAAGAGGGCAGTCAGTTTGATGATCTCAAGATTGAGAGCATTGATTTTGGGCATCTCACAAGGTTTGATCAAGAATGGTAAGGCTGTTGGTTCTAATTTTTTGTTGGCATCCTCTAGCTTGAGTGGCCTGGTGGGTGAATTGGTTAAATTAATTCATCTTGGATGGACTCGCTGGTTGGGTTGGGTTGCCCCCATTCTTGATGGTTCCAATGTTGATAGTATGGGTGGTGAGTATCATCTGGATTTAATAAAAACAGTAAGTCAAAGCCAAGTCATTATCAATTGATAGGTGCTGATGATAGAGGTCCTACATAGTTTAGGGTATTGGTTGATTGCAGGAAATGTGGCAGTCTTGGTGGTCTCATCAACAATACCTGCCTTTTCAGATACATGGATGCAAGTTCAATTAGTTTCTTTTGGATTGGAGATGTATCTGTTCAATTGGCTGGTGGTATATGACTTCTGATTTGGGGAGGGGGGTTGATGAATCCGCCATGGTATTTGTTTGATTGAATTAATCCATTACTCTCTTTCAATTTTGACCCACAAGATGCCCGCAGGATTCTCCAATTGTGATTGACAAGACACTTGAAACAGCCCTGGCTCTGAAGGTTGAAGGTTGCTTTTGGAGATATGCTGGTTGGATATAAAGACATATTACTTAAGATATATGAAAACAGGAGTGTACACAACCCCACGGGCAGGTGGAATCACTTCAAGGGTATGTACTGGTGCTTGCAATTTTGTGATGCCCTCCCTTTTTGGGATTGGCCCCCTGTGTACATTCCAACCTATGTGCTGCGCAATGCAGTTGTGGATGCAGCACCCTACATACCCCAGTAGGTGTTGCTCACCACTTGCCTCAGTTTGTTCAACTGCCCATGTTTAGGCAGTTGAACATTTCCCTCAAAAATCTTGACAGCTCACTAGGGGATTAAGCAGAAGCCATTTGTGAAGACCACATGGCTGGCTCAACCTGTGTAGTAGTATGAGTGTAACTTTATTACTTAAAAGTTCATAGAAGCTTGCCTCATGTCAACTGCTATGATTTGGTTGACTTTTTCTCATAGTGATAAATGTCATAAAATGTTGACTTACACATAGACAATTATTTGAGGATTAGTGATGGTTGATCCAATTATCTATAGGTCACATACAAAGCTAGCCCTATTGGAAATGACATATGACTAATGGGTAAATGTTTTCATGATGGATAGAGACAGCTATCATACAGACCCCAGAGAGTACTTTGCTTGACCATCAACCAATGACTGCTTGGTATGCTTGAAGGAGATGTCCAGATGCCTTGTAAATTTGGGCAACATTTGCATGGAGTGGGTATTTATTGTGTTATCACACTTTTACCACCCAGTTTGTGATGTGTGGCAAGTCCTCCATTCTGACTGTCAGTCTTGGACCTGGTCCAAAGAAGGCTTTCCTCATCATACTCCTCTGACCAACAAGCAAGTTGTGATCAATCTTAATAGTAAGTGGATCAGTGGTGGCCTTGAGATAGTGTTATTGTTTCTTTTGGAGTTAACATCATGGTTAAATATAAGCCTGTGGACATTGACTCAGCTCAGGATTAATTTCAGGCGAGCTTGACAGGGGTCAAACAAGGTAATTCATGTGAGTTGAAAGACTTGTACTTCCACCAGCAGGCACAGTGCCTTTATATAATCAATAGGTATCAGATTATTCAATATTTCACCACTTCATCATTCACAAGAGCTCACTGGCAATACCACAAAGTGCCCAAGTGTTTTTGGTTGGCCTAGCTGCCCCAGCTGTTGAGAATATGTTTTATCTTCATTGAGTCTGTGAGAGGTTGTGTTAGAAGTTTGATGGGGGAAGATCTGACTTGCAAATGGTGATGGGATTCTGAATGTTGTAGCACTCAACTGGGTTATCATTGAACTCTCAATTTCAGTGTTGGTATCTTCTCCATTGTCCTCATAGATCAGGTCAATCTGCACCGGCTTCTTTAAAGTTGACTGTCCCACAAGGAGGAGGATGCTCTTGGGATTGAGAAGTTTTGTATTGTGGCTCATTTAGGATTCTGGAGAGAGCTTTAACTAGTTTCTTATGCAGGAGCTTGGGGGAGGACAACAGTCATACTTGGTGCTAAAGAGTCTTGTATAATTTGGGAAGGCTTGTGTTGTCTACCTGCTGCATCTAACTCATGATACCGGTTTTCTTAGCTTTTCATCCTACATTTGAACATCTGGACCAAAATCTCACTGGGTTTTGCTGACACAGAACCTTTTGGGTTTCTAATGTTACTCACTTGAAATGTATGGAATTTTAGGGGAAGAATGCAGGTTAGTAGCCAAAAATGTATGATTTATTATTGTTATTATCCTTTTTTGCTATCTTGCAAAAGCAGATAATCATTCAGGTACTTGATAAAATTGGGACCTGGTTTCGGGTGTGGTTTAAATCCCAAAATAAAGTGGTGAAAATATCAAGTAATAAGGGAGAATTATGTACCAATAATGTTACTTAAGTTAAAGCAAAGGACAATACATTACCATATAGATACAAATTTTGAGCAGGTGTGACAGTGGGTAATCTAAAGTAGGTTGATAATAATCTGAGGAATCCTCCTTTGGTAAAAAAGAGGACCTTTGGCTGGTGGTACAGCCTACATGATGTGATTTGAGAAGTTGAGTGGTTTCCACTGGACTGACAAGCTGTGCATTGGTTGCTATGTAACCTAGCAACCTGCAGCCTGTGTTCTGTGAGCCGCATGATTTCATCCTGTATTTTGAGGCTGTACGCATCACATGACGGGTTGCCTAGATAACCTGTATGCTGTGTCTGCATACTTCCATTAGGGGGTATCAAATATAGGAAATCCACCATTCAAAACCACTCACTTTTCCCAAAACTTTTGTTTGCATCAATGATACCTTCACCTTTACCAAATCCTCTTCCTTCCGCTATACTCCTATCCCTCGATTTATTGGCTATGATACTACCCCCAGTCCCAAAAGGGGTTAAATGAATAACCAACTTGTTTAAAAAAGGGTGGATTTTTTCAAACCAGTCAATTAAATAATATGGTGGATTTGGTTATAGGGGGTATCAAATATAGGAAATCCACCATTAGAAACCAGTCACTTTTTTAAAAATATTTTTTTGCATCAATGGGCCCCAAAAGGGGTTAAATGAAGAACCAACATGTTTAAAAAAGGGTGGATTTTTTCAAACCAGTCAATTAAATAATGGTGGATTTGGTTATATTTGATACCCCCTATTGTACAGTGCCCTCCCAGAAGTATATAGCACCTTACATGGTAGCGTTGCTTGACAGTAAGAAACTCAAAGTAAGAATAGTCTTTAGGTTTAGATCAAGCAAACGAGATGGCCGACTCTTCGGTGATTAAGAATGATTCATCGAGTGACGACGATCATCATGAGAAGGTTACGCTATTGAAGCTTCATCGGGACAACTGGACCGAGTGGAAGAAATTCTTTGTCAACCTCCTCGTAGGCCGTGGTCATGAAGAAATATTCGATGAAGAATGGTGTAAAACGCATGCCGAGGAGAAGATCTTTCGAAAGAAATCAGCTCTAGCATTTACACTTCTTCAATCATGTCTTTCCTCTGATTTGAAACCAGTCGCAGCCGGAGCCGATTCATTTTCCAAAGCCATGGAAAGTCTAGCGGAAATGTGTGGAGAACAATCGCTCATCAAACTCGGAGACAAATTATTCGCTCTCGTTTCTTGTGATTACGTTCCCGGTACCTCAATCGGCGCTCACGTTTCAAAATTTCAAAATCTCTATAATTCATTGAAATCGGCTGTTGCAGCAACCAAGAACAGTGATGTGGATGATAAGATGAAAAACGATATGGATGTTGGTACAACAATGGCTGGTATCTTTTTCCTCAAAAGTTTTCGGCTTGATGATTCAAAATCTTTACGACATTCAACCATTTACCTTCAAACGACTTGCCGCTCGAATGAATGTTGAAGACACTCGAGCCGAAAAAGGCTCAGGTTCATTGAGCGCTATATCATCGTCATCTTCAAAAAACTTTATTCGACCTAATAAAGATAAGTTCAAGGCTCAACCGAAGTTTCAAAATGTCGTTCCTACCAAAAGTCGACCAAATTCAATGTTGTCATCATCAAATCCTAGTGGGCAGTGAGATGATAAAACAGAATGTGGAACAAAAAAAAGGAAAAATTGATTCCATCATATTTTAAAAAAATTAAATGAAACTGTTCTTTTTCATAATTGTTTTAAAAAAATACATGGAGGGGGTAGCTGAGAGGCCAGGAGTAATGATTATGAAAAAATATTTGAAAAAAAATGAAACTTCAGTGAGAAATCTTGATATTTGATTGGGCCACCATCAGCCTTGACAATAAGGTGCATTCAATTAGGCATAGAATTGATCAAGTTGTGGAGGTGTTCAACTGGAGTGTCATCGCAGGTCTGTTAGATTGCCTGCTTCATCTTGGGGATTGACTTGGGTTGGTAGTGCTCTTGAATTTCGTTCTTGATTATCTTCCAGAGGTTTTCAATCGGATTTAAATCTGGTGATTGAGGGGGCCATTCAGTTGTGTTGATATTGTGGTCATTGTGAAATGCCTTGGTGATCTTAGCTACATGAGAGTGGGCATTGTCCTCCATCAACAGAAGCTGATGGTTGGGATCAATTGAAGCTAGTGTGTCAACTAGTCTGCCTTTGTAAACTTGGTCAATATATTCCACCAGTTTGAAGGAAGATGATTGGAATCTTTGTTGTTCCGTAAAATGTGCCCCAAATTGAAGCCAAGGAGCGCCCACTCTTGAAATTGGGCTCAAGGCATTTGGTTTTTGTCTGTTTGTTGGGTTGTTGCCATAGACAGACCTGTTTGGACCTCTTCCCGGGCTTGAATAAAGATTTATTGGACCAAATGACCTTGCTCCAGTTGGCAATAGTCCATTCATGAAGACGTTCACAAGCAAAAGTGGGACATTTTTTTTTTGGTTTTTATCACTCATGAAGGGTTTCTTGAAAGCAATCCTGCTGTGGTATCCCAAATCATGAGCTTGTCTTCAGAAGTTGATCTTGAGACTGGGTTTGGCATTGAGTCACCGACCTCAGCAAGAGACAACTTTGGATTGTTCCCCAAGAAGTTTCAGAGCTGACGGATATCACAATCAGTGTTCAGACAAGGCCTGTCAGGCTTTTTTGCTGTCTGGACGGTTCCAAGAGTATGAGAACAAGATAAGATTGCTGAAATGGTTGATCTTGCCAAGCCAACGACCTTAGCCGCATTGGTATGCAACATGCCAGCGTTGACCATCCCAGCCACCCAAGCTTTTTTCTTGGTTGACTGCGTGTACAACCCATTGAGCTTCTGAGATCCAGGAATCCTGGTCACCAACAAAAAGAAAAACAATCAGTTATCAGTTTGCAATCTTTGGAGGAAAATAAACACCACAGGTACCCACTTGGGTGAAGTTCTTGGTCTTTGTCACAAATTTGAGATAGGATGGCACTGAGTGCAAAGTCTGAGCAGTTGCATTCAAGGACAAAGGGCCTGTACAGGTTGGCTATTTTCAGTACTGGTTCTGTGGTGCATGCAGTTTTCAGAGTCTCAAAGGCCTTGTTGCATTGGTTGTCCCAGACATAGGGAGTTTCATCCTTAGTCAAGTCATGGAGGGGTCTAGCTATACCAGAGAAGTGGTCTTATTGAAACTAGCCTGGCGCTCCCATTGGTCTGAATGGCATAGTTAGGGGTGCAAATTGGCCTTGTTGACAGACAAAAGCTAATTTCTCTTTGTCCCCTTCTGCAACACACAGGTTTCCGTAGGCATTGTGGAAAGTAAGGTTCGCCCTAGGAGATTTCTTGCACTCCTCTGCTCCGCAACACGTCCTTACTCCGGTTTGTTGTCTGGGGTAACTTGCTTGATGGTCTTGTAGGTAGATAAAACAACTATTCTTTCTATTGTTTTGGTTTGTAATACTCTAACCCTTTTTTATCTCTAACAATTCTTTTTGGCTAATACACAATTCACTCCTAAGTCACTCTGTTTTTCTGATATGGTCTTAGTCATACGTCTCCCCCCTCTCTCTCCCCTTCCGCTCCAAACTCCAACTCTGCCAGCTATCCCGCACACATATTCTCCCCTGCTTCCCATGCTGTCCTCCACTGTCACTCCCTCACACCACACTTGTCACCACTCCAACAACTGCCAGTCAGTGTACTACTCCAGCTGCTATTTGGACAGGTTTCCCACTGCCACTTCTGCCTCTGGTCCGGCTGCTGTGGAACTGCTGAACAATCAGAAACAGAGCTTGGAGGGGAAATAGACAGCTACACTACAAATAATGTAAATTGAGGCTATGGGTGCTGTTGAGGCTGCCCTCCTGGACAATGCTGGAGTTGGGAAGATTTACACTAAGAAAAAGAAGAAAGAAAGGATTGGTGTGGATTCTAGTAATTCTTAGTAAGGTCTAGGACAGGGAGTTGTGTTATCAAGGTCTAGTGATAATACCACAGAGTGTGTGAGGAGTGTTGAGGAAGTAGGGTTGTGGAGTGATGATTAAGGTTCAAAGGGCATGAGCAAATTATGCAGAGGGGGTCAAAAGGGTAATGTGCAAAACATGCAAGGTTTCTGAGGAATGAGTGCAAAGTATGCAAGGAGTCACACTAAGGGGCAAAATATGCAAAAGAGGGGGAAAGAAAATATGATTAAATTATGTCTGGAAAAGTATGCATTGATTGTTGTATGTATGTTGTTGTAGGTCTGTTGTCTGTAGTATTATTGTCTGCTGTTATCTAGTATATTATTTTGGTATTGTGTATGTCATGCTGTTATGTATATTGTTATGAAGGGGGGGGGGGGTTGTTAAGAGGGACTACTTATATACTATAAGATACAAATGAGCACAGAATGCATGGTGGCAATTCTGGTTATGAGAAAGAAATATACATATGTAGAAACCAAGAGTGTCCGATGGACACACTAAAATGACTGTCCATGGGATACTCCAGCCGGAGTATCCCATGGACAGTCTCTCAGGGTATTACTGCGCATCCAATGGACACTCTGGCTCAAGGAGTGTCCATCGGATGCGCATACCATCAAAGTTGGATCTGCATATGATGCAATCCAACTTTGTGTGATGGCGTGGTCGATGGTTGAGCTTTGGGTTGAATTTTGCTTGCTTCAGAAGCGATTCCTCCATTGACCACAACAAAACCACCTCAGAACACCCCAAAACCACCCCAAACCACCCCAAGAACATCCACAAACACCCCCCCCCCCCTTAGAAAATAAAAAGCAAACACTCCAAAAAAAGGCTGATCCCATTAGATCCCATAAAAACCTCAAAAATCCATCATATATATCATGTCTAGTCCTTCTGCTTCTACTTGGATTCCCCTGATTGCACTCTTTACAAATCCTTGGACTAAGAACCTACCCCACTTTGACCACCGCTCTCTTCAAATTCATGTCCATCACAGATATTTAACATCTATCCTCTTCAGCAAGGCCAACAACTACCCAGAAACCATTGAATCCCTCTCTTCCGTACTCAAAAAAGAAGAACTCATCCAAAACAAATTTTCACAGAAAGAAGTCAAAACCCTCCAAAGAATAAACACCATCTTCTCACCTTGTCTTGGTAAAATTTCTCATGCGGCTCTCAGGAAGGCTCAACTAAATTTCAACAACCAAAACGAGGAGGGGTTTGGCCCTCCTTGCAACAAATCTCACAGAAAATGGACTGGAATCCCCCGTGGTCATCGGCTCCAGTCAATCTTCAAAAACAACCTGAAAGTTCAGCCAGGGGAATTTGATCCCCAATGGCATTACAAAGTGGGTCTTTTTTTTCTTTCCTGGGGCTCTTTTTTTTTCTTTCCTGGGGCTCTTTTTTTTTCTTTCCTGGGGCTCTTTTTTTTTTCTTTCCTGGGGCTCTTTTTTTCATAGAGGAATTCTTTCTCTCTTGTCTCTTTTCTTTTTTTTCCTGGGGCTTTCTTCTCTTTTCTTGGGACTCTGCTTTTTCTTTGGGCTCTCTTCTTTTCTTGAGGGTCTTTTTTGTTCTTGAGGTTTTTTTCCCTTCTTTCTTGCACACTTTCAACACTACCTCATATCCAGTACTGGATATGGAGTAAAAAAAAACTGGATATTCAGTGTTTCTTTTAAAAAAAAATGGTGTGAAGAGGTGAACAAAAAAGAATATAAAAATACTACATATCCAGGTTTATTTTACTGCACATCCAGTGCGGGATATGAAGTTATGTTTCAAGTGTTGGGATCTCTTGATTTTTTTATGAGGGGGGGGGGGCTTCTTTTTTTGCCTTGACTTTTGGATGGAAGGTGGTCAAATGTTGAATTTAGGACCCGAAATCCGGTCAATGGTCGAAAAATCAACCATCCACCAATCAAGGGTTGATGATCAATTTTTGGACCCAAAATCCGGTCGATGGTCAAAAAATTGACCATCCGGATTTCCCAGCCATCCACCAATCAACGGTCAGAGCATCTCCAACGGACCCGCAATCGGGCCACCGGGGGCGAACTTTGACCACCCGGGTTCAATTTTCAACCTCCAACGGACCCGCGGATCAACCCTGAAAACATCGCGGGGGGCAGTCAAACCCGCGATGACCTGCTGACTTCCGCGGGTCACCTCCCAGCCGCAATTAAACCCTTCCTCTCCAATCGCCATCACCACACCTCCATCAACCGATCGAACACCTCCATCACCCCATCAATACACCTCCACACCAACACAAGAACGGCAGCCACCAAGAATAGTCGGATTGTTCCTATTTTTCAGTTGATTCTTTGATTGTTTCTTTTATTGTGTTGGATGAACATATTGTTTCTTCCTTTTTTGATTTGATAATCAGATCATTTCTGTCTTCAGTTTTCATATTTTCCATTCCCTTTCCACTAATTCTTGTCTTGCTTTTTTAAACAAACTGGAAAATAAACAAGAGAAAACGATAAAGTGAAATTGCAAG